ATCTCACATGCAGTGATGCAAGATGGAATGATAGTGCTCAGGTTCCTCCCAACTTTACATTCAGAAGGAAAAAGTGGATAAGGTGAACAGGAAGTAACATTACATTTCTGACAGACTGGGAGAGTTCAGTGCCAAATAGCTTAAATTTTCATGAAGCCTGCCTTTAGTATTAACAGACTGATAATGCTGTCAAAATCCTTGTAAAACACTTTGGCTAGGGAAGGTTTCATGGTCCTGACTTACTCACCACACGCACCCTGGAGACAATGTTTCTGTTAAAAGTTCCTCTAAAACCAAGTGAATGATCCATCACTAGAATAAATGGCTCTTACTTGTTCTTTGCTCAGAGTCATAGAATCATAGAATGGTTTGGGCTGGAAGGAACCTTAAAGATCATCTAGATCCAACACTCCTGACCTAGGCAAGAACATCTTGCACTAGACCAGGTTGCTCAAAGCCTCATCCAACCTGGCCTTGAACACTTCCAGGGATGGGGCAGCCACAGCTCTCTGGACAACCTGTACCAGTGCCTCACCACCCTCACAGTAAAGAATTTCTTCCTTGTGACTTACCTAAACCCACCCCCTTTCCTTTTGAAGCCATTAGCCCTTGCCTTATCACCATGTGTCCCTAAAAAGTCCCTCTCCAGCTCCTTGTAGGTCCCCTTTGGGTACTAGAAGGCTGCTATAAGGTCTTCCCGGAGCCTTCTCTTCTCCAGGCTGAACAAGCCCAACTCTCTCAGCCTGTCTTCACAGAAGAGGTGCTCCACCCCTCTGATCACCTTCATGGCCCTCATCTGTACTCACTCCAACAGGTTCATGTCTGACTTCCTCTTTGTTGGGATGCATTGCTCTTGAGCTTAGAGGAAGATGAGATGCAACTTTGATGGTCCTTGAGTTCCCTTCCTGGAAGAATACAGTGCTAGGGTTACCTTGACAGGTTTTGAATGAAATGTATGGTATGTTGGAAATAAGAAGAAAGGGAGGGAGGAAGGCAGGAAGGCAGGAAGGAAGGATCTTATTGTGACTACCACTGGGCACATATGTATTTCAGCAGCTCAGCATCAGTGCAGAATGAGCAGAAAACTTACTGAGGAAATAATTTCAACAGGTATCAACTGCTGAGATGATTTTCAATGGAGCACAAAGCTTTGTTCAAACACGTTTTGCTAGCAGGAGAAATAATGGCCTGGCAATATATTCATGTAGCACTTTGCCCTACATAAAACTCACAGAGGAGCTTAGGGGCCCAACATCATCTTAAATGTAGACATCATATAGTCCAAATCCAAAAATGCTTCTTCAGCTCAGCCCTTTGAGCAGATTGCTGTCTGTGGATACTTTGCTCAGAATCACATAGCATTGCTCTATCACTTTGAGGACAGTCTCTTCTATGTTAGCCCAAAGCAGGACTTGCATTGAGAAATCTCAAAATAACTTCTTCCTTCTCTGTGTAGTTATGTAAGGCTTTTTTTAAAAAAAAAGATCTTTCAACTCAGGCTTAAAGTGATAACAGTATAATAATGGTGTTTCCAACAGTGTGCAGCTCTCCCCAAGAGACACTGGAAGATATTTTGTCAAATTAGTTCCTCAACATCACTAAGTCTGAGAAAAAAAGCATAGATCAGTAGTTAGGCCTGTGCCCTTCTATCCTAGTGGAGGCTGGATAGTGTTTCTGCCAATAATAGCCTCAATCAGGTAGTTCTTGCTCCAAAGAAAAGTCTTCCTAAAACTGAAGACAAGACTTCAAACACACAATCACATAGTATTCTGGCTTTAAGATCCCCAGAACAGACTGGATGGTGTCTTGAATGAAGAAGAATGAAACAGTTTTAAGTCATTTTCTGCAATAGGAATAGAAAAGAATAGTACTGTGGTTTTAAAATGAGTTTAACTTTCTCTGCAGAAAACAGAATACAAACCCACTTAAAATATCTGGTAAGTATTATATAATGCTTTTTAGAAACTTTCCCTGCTTGCTCCAGTTTCAACTGGGGTATGAACTAAAGTCAGTGGAAGTCTTTTTGCTGACATCAATGGGCTCTGAATTAGGACCTCATTGCTTGCAACCCAGCTTGTGTGCTACATTAATTCAGAAATGGGTTTTAACAGCTTCTTTCACCTCACAATCTCTTGAGCTGTGCACTGAGAGACAGAGGGCTTTTTTTCCCCCTCCTTTTGGAGGACTTTTTAGAGGACAGTAAAGCACAATGCAGCAATAGCTACAGTGTGACCTGCACTTTGCAAGTGGAATTTCCAGAAGGCAGAAACTGCTTTTCAGAGAAAAAATGTTCTCCAAGTGTTCCCCAAAACAAAAAACCTTATAGAAACCTATTCCAGTAAAAACCTGGATTAGGAAAATATAAATCATAATAAGAATATGAGTGAACACAGTCTGAAGAAACCGGGAAAAGGGACAGAACCAGTTTTGGAGAACAACTGACATACAAACCGCTTTACAGACTGCACTGCAGTTGAGAAATAACATTCTAACCTTACTACTTTTAAGCAAGCATTTTCAACAGACACATGCTCCAACGTGGTGTAAATGAAGCAACAAGGGGCAGGAATACTGCTGTCATCCTGTCACTTCACTGTCCCCCCACTATGGAATCATACAATTAACACAGCTTTGCTGCAGAGAGGAATGTTCTTATAAACTGTTGTTCTGCCCCATAACTTCAGCTCTATTTAAGATGAAAATAAACACAATTTTGGTTCTTCTAGTTTTTTAAAAGAAAGCGTTTTAAAACACTCTGCTTACTCTATTTTTATACACCTGAAACGTGCCTGGTCTCATACCACGCTTGGTGGACCAATAGTACATGAAGATCGCTGGCTTCTGACTTTCAGACAAGAGGTTTTACAGTCCATGAGGTCCATTCACAGATTTGTTTATTAAAATTGTATTTCTATTGTTTTGTACTGTTTTCTTCCCCTCAACGACAGGTTGCTCATGCTCCCTCACACAGCCATTCCCAGCTGAGCTCTGAAACACGGAGCAACAACAAGCTCTTGTGGCTGGTGGTCACACCAGCAGCCACCTAGCCCTAAAAACCATAGCTCTGAATGCAGTGTGTTTTGCCTCTCTTAACTGACCCACTCTGTTACCAGCTGTGGGTACTTGCTCACATGGTTAAGCTATAACAAACTACAAAGAGAAGAATAAATTCTTTTGACAGAAATTCTCAGTTCAAGCAATTTCACCAAGGATATATCGGAGTGACACTGAAGTACAGCACAATGGCTAGCACCACTGTGGGGGAAGATAGCTAGAGCTGCAGACTACCAGCTTTTTGTTAAGCTTGTACTGCCTTTCATAAAGCATATGATGGCTTGCCTTTATGGGATCAAACTTAATAACAATGTTCCTTCTACATGGAAGAGAGAGACTACATTAAATACACATCCATGCATCTATCCCTAGCCCATCCTTCATAGTCCAGCATCCTTTTACCAAAGTCCAAACTTGTATCCTCAACTGCATGAGCAAGGAATAGATCTTACATGATGCTGCCACAAAGTCCTTGAAATGGCAGTCACCACTGTCTGACTTGATCATAAGTCATACACCAGTTGATGTGTCCATAGGAGAACCAGAGAGGAACGATAAAGGAGAAGCCAGGAAACATGTAGTTCTCAATGCCAAATACAGGTTTATCTGGACTGCAGCAATCAACTGATCCAAATTTATAGCTAGTGAGTCTTCATTGTCCCATATCAGTCAAATCCCAACTTTCATAAGCAGGCTGATAACAATGCCGGTGGGTGACCAGAACTTCACAGTCCATCAAACCCTCCAGATGCAGGGGAAGAGAGAATTTGGCCAGCTCTGAAGAGGAGGAATAATGGAGAAAAGGAAAAAGAACAGTTCTAAACATCTGGGGAGGACATTTATGCTTCAGTAGGTGTACTGCCTTTGAAATGACATAAGATGAGGTAAGCTCATATTTACAGCTCATGGCAAGATGAAGGAGCCCTAGAACTCCTCATCACAATCCACAAGACACCAAGCCTGAAGGAACAATTCAGTTGAGACATCAGCTCTTTCAGATAAAATGCAGCTTACTCAACTAATCAGAGAGTTTTTTCCCCAAACACAGTGAGCAAGGCTTAATTAAGAACATAATGTCATGTGTGAAGGACATTTTGTTAAAAATACACTGCATGTTCTCTATTTTTTTCATATGATGTGACATATAATGGGCACTGAACCAAAATACCACAGAAGTATGTGGTTTATGCTATCTCACTGGAGTACCAAATAACATTTAACATTGAGAAAGTATTGCAGACATATAGTAGAGGATCTCTAAATGTTCCTTTACAGTATTGCTACAATAATTGCTTTTCTTCCATGTTACCACAGCCATTTAGAAGCCTTTATAGAGAGCTAGTCATCATAAAACATCTTAACCTCATTTGGAAAATATGTACAACCATTTTGCTACTTCTCCTTCCCTGTCTTCTAATCTAGACTTCATATTGAGCCCAGTTTTCCATTTTCTTAGCAGCATACATTACAAGCAACTCTATTCAAGTCAATAAAATTACTCCTTCCTGAAGAAGGAATCAGTCCTCTGCAAAAAAACAGAGTTTAACAGGTAATTTTCCACTTCAACTCTTACCATAAAACAGGTTACAGAAATTACTTTTTATCTAACACTGAAAGTAAACAATTGATGCAAAATGTGCAATGTTTTTAAAGACAGTACGTTCACTACCTGTGCCCTTTATATGTAATTACTTTCATCTGAGTAAGCAGACAGTAAAGTAAGACTACCATCAAGCCTATTGATCATGCAAAACAGGCAGCTGAACATCTCTATTTATTTATGCATTCTTTTACTTTTTGTTCCCCCCTTGGAAAGCATGTGGAATCCATGAGACATTTTCACGCACCATTGCTTGCAGGAGAACATCAAGTCACCTTTTATGCCCTCAGGCAAATGTCTCCTACCTGATCTCAGTAACTGTCTGTATCAAAACTGTTTTTCATACCTTGTGTAAGCAGCTGGAGGTTTCGGACTTCTTCTCTCACCTTCAGCTGAAGGACTTGCTGCAGAATGTGCTGTCGCAGGCTTTCCTGGGCAATACCCATTCGTTCAAGCTTTTTGTCAGTAAGTCTCAGCAAAGCACGGCCTGGATGCAAAAGATACAATGAAAAAATCACCCAAGGATTTCCATTAATGCAATAGTCTCACTCTGACAGTATAATTTGCTACAGAAAAGATTCTCAGCCCTGAAGGACCTCAGCCTGAGAAGATAGTGTTTTATCAGTTAGGTACTTCCTTACTGCTAGAGATCTGTGCACCACTCCTGCCTTTTCTTTCGATTTTCTGTATTGTTCTGGTGTTTTTTTGAGAGATACAGGCATTTAAAATAGGTATCTTATGCCATTTGGGACAACCAATTGCTGTTCTTCAGTGTCAGTTGGTTTCTCACAGGCAGGATATCCCCTATAAGTCTACAATTGACACAGGTGCCTAAGAAGACCCTCATCTCTATTCAATCATCTGTATTACTGTCAAGAAACCAGCAACAGTGGACTTCACAAATTAAATCAATTTCAGATATACCGAGGATGAATATTGTTGCAATTCAGATATATCTATAGTGTAACAGCACCATTCTCCAATATGATTCTGTACTTTATGGTTCAGCTTTCCAAACCCCTCTCAACAGTAAACCATCACAGCAAAACAGAAGAAAAAAAAAAAGCCAGAGATTTCTATCAATGATATCTAAATAATTCCTGAAAAATATTTTGTCCAACTATAAAAAGACATCTACTCCTCTATAAGGAGCCTATGGTCTTTGCAGGCTATCACTCCCAGTTTGTGACTTACCTTTACTATTAGGTTAATGTTGAACCAGAGTCCAAGGTAGATTGTCGATGCTAAAAAATCAATCAATCTACATTCCCCAGATTCTGCTAGTGGAACTCTGACTCCATCTTTTGGGCATCACTGCTATAAATAAACAGGGGGAAGGCTGTACACTGTCTGAGCCAACACTAAGGAAGTATTTGGATCAAGCAGAAAAACAAAGCATCAAGCAGTGCTTTACCCCAGGAAGAAAACCAAAACTTACTTTCTTTGGTCTTCATCACTGCACCACTTCACCAAGAGAGGAGTCTCTTAGTAGCCTTCCACTGACTCTTGATTCCCAGTATATATATTTATCTAAAGGTGCCCTGGCCAATACCAACAAATCAAACTGGAGGTGCATTGATACTACCTTGAAAATGACATGTTGTTTGGTACACTTTTTTAAACAAATTCAACTTTTTACCTCCTCTAGTTCTTTTTAATTGTTAAAAATTCCTTCTTTGATTTCTCAGGCTTTATTCTGAAACCAGAAGAAGATAGCAAAGAGTAGGTTATTCCCTCTGCAACACAACGGTCTCTGTGCTACCACTACTGTGGCTTTTGGATGAATGGTACAATTTAGCTCATCAGAAAGTATTACTCAACACAGCAAGATAAGGCCCTTATTCAATCTCTTTCCTTACAAAACAGCAATGAGTACAGAATTTTTATAATTATTTTAATTAAAAAATTTAAGATAAATGCGAAGAGTTTAAAGGGGTGCATAATTTTTGCCCCAAACCAAGCAGTTAGGGGTATGCCCTTCACTAACTGCTAGATTTCACTCACAAGCAGTTCTCTGAAGTGGTTAGTAAAATCTTGATATGATGATGCAATGTAAAATACTGGGATATTACTATTAATAAAGCAAGATGCTACTGATCAGATAAAAATGACAGTGTTCATAGATCTTCTGACCTTCTGTGTCTCTCAAGCACTACATACTACAGAGGATGACCTTTTGATTAGCAAAACTTTTTTTGAAATCATAAACAAGAAGAATTCTAAGGGTTAATGTAATAACAAAATATGGAAATTAGTCTCTTACAGATCAATGCCAGCTGTCCAATTCCCCTGGTGATAAAGGCAGCAATAATTACTTCAATTTTTATTTGTCTTATCTCACTAAAACATCTTAAAGCAATTTATAAAGAGGTACAGCAGTTCAGGAGTATCGTCTGTAATGTCAATCTAGCAACTGAAAGCAAATAAAAAAACAAATCATCAATTTAAAGAGCGGCAACACACGTCATCTTAGGGCAGAGAGTCAGCAACAGTAATATGAAAGGACAGACAGAGGCCATGCATCTTATCCAGTGCCCTCCACCTGTTTTTGGCCATGGATAGTCATTACTCTTTCCTTCCTCTGGGCAACTCTTTATTTCATATTCAAATCGGTTTTCTACCCTAGTCATTGCCTTTGGAAGTTGAGTGTGCACAAAAAAGAAACATCTATTTTCAACTCTTGGCATGCCAGTTCCTCTGCAGCTTAGGCTCAAAGCACAATGCCATTGGAAAAAATTGTCTTTGACTCATATTATCTGAAGCAGCTTGCACAAGTTGCCTTAAATTAACTCTTTCTTGCACCAAATCCGAAGTGACATGTTGAGGCAGTGATGAGGCAAGAAAGCAAACATTCAAATGTGGCATTTCAAGAATGCAATAAGTGATCCGAAGTGTGAAAATTCAATCCTCCCCATACTTTCTTTCCCCTCAGCCCTTAGAACAACAACATCCAAGCCAGAACCGGAATAATTTTTCATTCTGATAGCAAATCACGTTCTTTGAAAAGATATTGCTAATGCCTGGATCAGTCACTAAAGCCAATTAGTTACCAAGGCCAAGATCCTGATAATCAGTTAATGATTTTGGATGCATTACTGTCTTGCTTCCTGTACTGTACATATCTGAAAGAGTAATGATTTGGTGTTAAGAACTCTGTGTTATTGAACATTGAAACCAATTATCCAGAGAATTTGTAGAATCTCTGTCTTTGGAAGCACTCAAAGCCTGTCTGACAAGGTCCTGAGCTGTACTTGCCCCTGCTTTGAGTAGGGGGTTGGATTAAATGATTGCTAGACATGCCTTCCAACATCATCTGTCCGGTGAAATAACCTGCATGAAGCACCTTGACCAATAGAACCATAAAGATTGCAGTGACAAACATCTAGGCCTTGGCTCTAGCTAGTTGCAAGGCTGGAAATCAAATGTTTTACACAAAACCCCACAATTCCCTCAGTATCTGTACACATTTTTAGCACATAAACCCCAGCCCTCTCATACTCAGGGCAGATCAGCTGTGGAATGTTTGGAGACACCCTGAGGGTAGATACAAAATATAAAACACTTTCCAGTTTAATAATGGATTGATGGCCTAATTTTTTCTAATATGACTTAGCTGCTGCAGATCTCGTTTGATCAAGCTGGGACTAGATGAAAATTTGAATGGAGGGAGAAACATTGCATGCCACAGAAGATTAGCATGAATATAAGCATTGGTCCAATGAGGCTGGCACTGGCCCTAGAGCAAGGAACATGGCACAGTCTGCTGTACCTAATCAGAAATGCTCGTACCTCCCTGCACTGGTATAGCCTATTGCTCTTCACCCAGCTGCCAGTTCACAGACACACAGAGGGACACCTCGCAAGAAGCCTTGAAAGAATACTTGTGATGCAGGAGAATGGACAGGTAAGAAAGGACTTATTAAGCATGTAGAAAGAACCAAAGGAGTACAGGTAAATGAGAGCAGATAGCTAGTAAGAGCCTGATCTCACACAAAATACTGAAAAAAACTATGAGTAATTTAAAGCTGATGAAAATGATAAACCACTAGTGGGAACAAATGATGTGTGTGAAGTATGGCCAGTAAAGGTGATCTTGTCTCCTGAGTACAATATTATAGGTATACCTAATTAACAAGACAAGATGTTCAGTTTACTTACCATGGGGCACAGAACCTAGGAAATGAAGTTTCCTGGAGATTCCAAGGACACTAAAAAAGGCCCCACTGCCAGACCAACAGCCTATGTTCAGTGTCAGTAGTGTCAGTAGGAGATGCATTCTGGGAGAGCTATTGGGAGGGCTACTTTCTGAAGTTATTCCCTTTGTACCACAACAACATCCAGAACTATTATACTAGGGTTATTAGAGAGCACATAATTTTAACACCTACTTATTGTCCTGATGTCCCTAAATTTCTTTTTTTGATCTTCCTGATACTGTCTGCTTCTGTAGCTTCCTGGGGTACAAATTCCAGAAGCTCACTGCCCATTTTTGTCTGTCTTATATTGATTTCCTACTAAATGCTCCCAGTATTTGCTAGGTCTTGCATTGCAGGATTTGGTTAACAGGTCAACATTCAGCTGTTGATTCTATGGTCTGTAAACTTCAGTCATATGCCTTTTGGTTATATTTTTGATGGATTCAGCTGACAAACCTAGAAAACCTGAAAAAACAGGAACATAAGGTTTCCTAAACCTCTAAATTATGGAAGATGAAAACTTTTTCATCTTTAATACTTTAATGTCACAAATGCCATTTTATTCTTAGTTAAGGGATTAACAGTGTGCTTCTCTGGTTTTTCAAACATGTTGCTTTTGTGTTTACTTGAAATAGTCTGGTCACAGCTGTCCTCTTGCTTATATAGGCTGAATGTTGGCTTCTTTTGACTTCAGTGCTTAAAAACAAGCCTTGCTGGACATATCAAGCAAGAAATTTCCATGACAGAGACACAGACATTACTATCACTGTTCAGGTGCTGGTGAGACACAAGGATAAAACTCTCATCGCATAATCAGGAAAGAATGCAAACAAGAATGGGCAAGAGAGAGGCTATGACTTCATAGTGAGGAATGGCAAAATTATGAGAGGAGGTGAGAAAAAGAATAGTCACCTACAGAATATTAATGGCCTCACGATGGCAGTGGAGGGAGATGAACACTGGGAAAAGAGAAGAACTAATGAACTTGGGAACTGACTTGAAGAGTGAACAAATGGATATAAATATAATTGAGGATCCTGGGTTCAGAAACATCTTGTAAAAGCAGCAGCATAAACCAGAAATCAATCCAATTTTCAGAGCAAACTTGATATGACTTCATGATGCTTTTCTTGATAACCAATCGGATCTTCTACAGTCCTATATTTTCTGCTCTCTACATGAGAATTTAAGAGCATGTCTCTCCTTCTCATGCCTGTCTCATCCCTAGTCAACTAGACAAATCAGCCACTTTGTCATCAATGTCTTGTGGCAAATCCACAGCTTTTCCTGC